AGCTTCGCATGGCGCCCCCCTGCCCATGTCGGAACATGCCTCGCACGGCCGGCGCCCGAGGAGGCCCGCCCGCGGCCTCAGTGGGCGCGTTCGCGCGGGGGCGGCTGAATTATTCGGCGCACCCTTCAAAGGGGCCCCAAAACACTTCTCCAGACGGCCTCGACCGGCCCCTGGAGGGCCCCCCAGGCGGCCGCAGAAAGTGCGCTCCAGGTGGCCCACGAAAGCTTTTCCAGGCGGCCCCATGAGGCAGGCGGGCCCAGGAGGCGCGTCCAGGTGGCCGCGCGAGGCGCGTCCAGACGGCCCCCGAAGGCTTCTCCAGGCGGCCCCAGGAGGCGTCTCCAAGCGGCCCCGGGGAGCGCGTCCAGGCGGCCCGAGGAGGCGTTTTCAGGTGGCCCTTGAGAACGCTTCTTTAGGCGGCTTGAGGACGCGTCTCCAGGCGGCCCCAGGAGGCGTGTTCATGCGGCCCCAGCCCAGGCGGCCCCGGTCCAGGCGGCCCCAGGACGCGTCTGCAGGCGGGCCCCGGATGCCCCTACAGGCGGCCCCGGAGGGCCTCTCCAGGCGGTCCCGGAAGGCCTCTGGGCGGCCTCTCCGGGCGGCCTCAGAAGGCCTCTCCAGGGGGGCCTGGGGGGCTGTTCGGCAGAAGTCCGGAGGCTTGTTCAGTGCCTACCCACTCGGGGTTCGTTCGGTTCCTATTCGGGGGGCTGTCTGGTAGAAGTTCGGAAGTTGGTTATTAAAACCGCGGGGTCGCTGCACTTTCGAGTCTCCGCGCCTCGCCCCCCCCTCGCCCGCCGATCATCAAATCCATGCGCGACAGGATGGTATCCAGCCAGCCTCGGCCAGACAAACTTGACTCGCTGACGTCCTCGAACTTAGCCTGCATCTCCCAGTCGAACTGCTTCTCGCATTGCCAGGTCTCGGCAAGCACTGCGAAGATATTTATTGTGTCGTGGAAAACGAAAATTCTCGTCTGTCAGCGCGCGCGCGCCATGAGGACGCGGACGCGCGCGGGCGCGCCACCCAGGCATTGTGCGCCGCCGCCACGGGCGGCATATAATACGAATGGCCCCACTCGCGCGAAGACGCGCCACTGGCGATGGAAACGATCCATGCGCGGCGCAGGGCATGGCCGCGCCTTGCGCCGGCTGGATTACCCGCAACCTCCGGGAAGCCCGACTTGCCTTCGAGCGGTGCCCCGCACTTGCTGCGAAACCGTGACGAGCGCGGGGTAGCCCACGCGCCCAGACGCCTGCCTGGCACTCCGAGGCGTTCGCCCCCGCGCGTACGGAAGCGCCAGAACGCAGCACGCGGTGGCCTTCGGCCACTTGCGAGCGGTGCCCCCACGCCTGGAGGACAGCTTCGACCACGGACGGAAGTCTCGCAGCCCCAGACGTCCGCGCGGCAGTCAGAGGCATGCACCGCCGCGCGGGCTGATGCGCCGAAAGGCATGGCGCGGTGGCCCTTTGTTCACCTGGGACGACCTGTTCATCTTGCCGGCCTTGCACGGCCTGCGCAGAGAGCCGCCGCCAATGTCTGTTGCGCCCAGCCAGGCTGGGTCTCCTTGGGGCGCCCGGCACCGAGGGCGGAGCAAGGGGCAAACGGCGCTGGATTCTCGGCGTGAAATTCGATATGGATTTCGATGTGGATTTCGAATGGATTTGCGAGAGCGGTCAAGTGAACGAAGCGTGCCAAACAATCGGCCCTTGAATTTCACTTCGAATCCACATCGAAATCCACTTCCGAAATCGAACCCGAAATCCACGTCACGTCAACCTCCTTGACATCCACCTCGAAATCCATGTCGGAATCCAGGTGGGAATCGAAGTCGAAATCCACCAGGACTCCACTTCGATATTCACACCTTCTCAGGCCGACATGGATGGTAATATGTTGTGGGCGGACCACTGAGGGATGGATAGACTGCAAGGTTTTGAAATCGAACTGCCTGCGACCTCGCCCGGCCTGGTGGCAGGCGCCCAATCAAGGTCACAGTTCGAGAGGGGGCCCCCGCGCACGCTACTCTGCCGCCGAGAAGACGTAGTCCTGGAAGGGCTGCGCTTTCCAGAGATTGTAACAGCATGAAAGTTTGCGTAACCAAACCTGAGTCAAGGTTGGGGCGCGTTCTTCCTCGCAAAGTGCAACGAACATCAGCAACTGCTGAACGAGGAGAAGGACCAGGCCGAGGAGGGAGTTGTTTTTTATATACACTGCACGCGTTGAAATCGCATGGGAACGCTGGCAACAATAGCCGATGATACGCACGATCGCTGGGAAACACGGGCAATTTACAGATCCGTTGCGGTTTTCACACGAGGTTTCCTCGCATCTCTCCGGGCTCTTCTCTCCCGTCGAGAGTTTCAAAATCCACTCAGGATTCACTGCTGAGACCGTGTAGCCTGATGCTTCAGTAGGTTCTCGGCTCTCCTCCAGATGACTACGTCGGCGTTCTTGTCCCAGCGGTGAACAGTTCTCTTCCATTGGCGATAGCGGCTCCGGCCGGGCCATGCCAGCGGGTCGGGGTAATCGCCTCTGCTCGAAAATCCAGCGTTCCAGTCGCCAGTCGTCTGCTCTCACGGGTCCCAGTCGCCGTTCTCGGCCTGCCACTCTGTGGACCGCCATTCTCTCCAGTCGCCAGCCTGCCACGTCTGCTCTGGCCTGTCTCCGCCTTGGCCGAAATGGCGCTGCCTCCAAGGGTCCGTCTCCTCCCAAGGATCTGGGGGTACCCCAGGGCCTTGCGGAGACGCCGACGAGGGAGGAATCGTCCCTCTCCCGCTGGCGGTCGCAGCGACCACCTTCTCTAGAAGTACTCGAAGTCCATCAGCCTGCTCTGCCGCAGTAGGAGAGGGTGGCGTGCTGATGCTGCTGCTGCTGCTGCCGCGAGCTGCCGCGTCGGCAGCCTTGTCGGAGGGGGGGGGCATGACTGCTATAATGTCGGCGCCGCCGTCCGCCTTCTTGTCGTCCTTGCTGCTCTCATCTTCGGGCTTGCCTTCGCCCGACATCGCCGTATATCGTCCGCTCACTCAGGGTAGGGCATCCACTGTTTGCTCCAAGCTCTCGACATCGCGACACGGCGCCGTCTAGCAGCGCCCCATAACAAACCCGCCGACCCGGAGCCTCACCACGAAGCTCCGCTACCAACTGCGGCAGCAAGACTGATAGCAAAGAGGCTTTGCCATCTTGAGCCGCAATGACGACACTCATATCTCTCTGCACTCCCTCCATAGTGCAGACAGCTCCCCCTGCAACACTAAATACAGTGTCGAACCAACCCTAACCAGAAACAGACGAAACGAGGTGGTTTTCCACATCGGGCCCTAGAGGCCCCCCTTCAGGAACGCTGGAGGGCCTCTTTTCGGCAGCCCTCGCCGCCTCCAAATTGATCGCCCCCCCCCCTCTCCCATTACGCGCCCTCCCAAAAATTGAGAATCCCTGACGTCCAGCGGCTCTGGAGAACGCCTCGGGCGCCGCGGCCTTCTCAGAGCGTCCCCGAACACGCTCTGCAGAGCGTCCCGGAGCGCTCTGGAACGGACCCATCGCCCCCCGATCGTCCCCCGTCGCAAGGCTACCCGATTGACCCCCGTCGCAGGGCGCTACCGGGTGCTGCGGAGCGTCCACAGAAGAGCCCCACGCCCCGCGCGCGGCCGAGGAGGGCGGCGGCCGCCGGAGGGCGGCCGCCCCGGCCGCAGCTCGATGGCCCTGCGGACCGTCCGCGGACGGGCGCCGCAGCTGTCCAGGCCTCGCCGCCCCCCCCCCCGCGGCCCGCCCCCATACAGCAGGAGAGCCCAGAATCGGATCGAGAAGTCGGATCGGTGATCGAAACGAGTCGGATCGGCGGAAACCGACGGCCGAGTGGGGAGAAGTCGAATCGGCGGACATCGGCAGGCTAGAAGGCCTCTATGAAACTTCGGAGCCCGAATCGGAATCCGAAGTCGAATCGAATCGGAATCGAAGTCATCGAAATCGAATCGGATGAGTCGAAACGAGCCCAGCCTACAGTCGTACTTGATTGGACAGAACACCTGAAGGGACAAGACTCTTCCGACGGCAACGTGGCCCCAGGACACCAGAGGACGTGCTGGTTGCATAGGTCTGGATATACAGGACACAAAAGGGTACCCTCGATTTGGTATGGTCGACCTGCCAAGGAAGGAGAGGGGAGGGGGAGGATCGAGGCGGATCGAGGGTCGAGATGTTCGGGTCTGCGTGCCAGGCCTTATTGGCTCCCCGGAGGGGGAGGGGGCGGGGCAGAGGCTGGGCTGGGCTTGCGCCCGCTCCTCTTCCTCCTCCTTCTGAACCTCTCGTTTGTTTTTCCAGCTGACCTTCATCCTCCTCCCTGATCCTACACCATCTTTCCTTCTCCTCCATCCTCCTCCACATTGGTCCTCAATCGTTTGCCTCTTCCTCCTGCCCTATCGTCGTCATCCTCTATCCTTCCTCCTCATTATTTCCTCCTTCCCCTCTCTCCTTCACCTGCCTCGATCATCGGGAGGGGGAGGGGGGAGGGAGGATTTCGCTTGCAATGCGCGACGGCAGCCCGAAACACCCGCAGAGCTCGAAGAGCTGAGAGGAACGAGCGCACACGAGATACGCTTGAACGTCGCCGGGGCAAACATGCGTGCACACCATGCCGTTCTCGCCGGCGAATCCAGCTTCTGCGTGTAGGATGACGAAAGAAAAGGACGGAAGACCTTGGAGGAAAAGAACACGTTGTACGACGTATAAACTGAACGTAAAACGATCCACCCCCCCAAACCCTGCCTGCACCTGAAACGAGACGAGATATCTAAGTGACGCCAAGTTGGCAATATACCTAAACGCAGAGTCCAAATGTTTGCCGACCCTCCACATTTCTCATCACGGGCTGATCCATTAACTTTCACCAAAGCCATTGAAGTGCGTGTTCGCGATCCATGGGGGCAGGGTCCAGAGGCATGTCCGCACGAGACTCGGAGAGAGGACGAGGGCAACGGCGGCTGCGATGCTCCCTTCCGCGCGCTGGGCGCCTCCCACGTTGTACACGATGTTCCCCAGGGCGTGCTTGGAGAGCGTCGCGGAGCCCCCGCCGCGCAGCCTCCGCTGCTCGCGTCGCCGTCTGTAGTCTGCCGTCGCCGCCTGTCGCCGCCGTCAGGCGCGGCAATGACGAGGTCCAGCGCGCCCAGGCCTGGCACCGAGGACAAGAGCTAGGGGACGCGACGCCACCACCGGCGCGAGGAACCACAGGGGGGTCCCTCTATGGTGGTGAGGTACCCCGGGGCCCGCTCGAGGCATCCTCAGTGCGATTCGACCATGTGCACTCGAGCTCGGGATGGCGAACGCACTTGCCATCCTTCTGTTGCAGTTCGGCCCGCCTGGCATGCGCAGGTGAACAGCCGAGAGAGCACGAGCGGACCTCCTCCTCCTCCTCCTCCTCCTCCTCCTCCTCCTCCTCCTCCTCAATCACGGTGAGGAGGAGGCAAGGCACGGCACGGCGGCACGGGGCGGGCCCAGGCGACGGCAGCTGGCGGCACCGAGCCCCCCACAGGAGTGCCGCTGCGGGGCGACACGGCTGCAAACGGCCTGGGGGGCACCCCAGACATCCGCCGACGTGTGTTTTTTGGTGCGCGGCCCCGACGGTACCGACCCCTTCCCCGGGGCCTTGTTTGCGCCCCGACCGCCCCGAGCCCCTTTTTTGGTGTGGACCCGAGGGCCCGATGACGGGGCCCCGGGGACAGGAATCGAGGAATAACACGCCACGACTGAAAACAAGCACCGAAGGAGGTCTGGGACCCAGTTTGCGGGTCATTGTTCAGATCTCCGGAAGCCAATCGGGACGATTCAGTACCCTTGGAATGCTCTCGGCGAGGCGAGGCTGCCGGAAAGCATCCCGAGGCGGGAAAACCTCCAGGAAACAACGAGAACTGCCGACAACACCCGCGATCTGAAAAACACCCAGTTGGAAAACACATCGTCGGGATATCTGGTGGCCCCGCCTGCGAGTGCCGCCCCGGCAGGAGGAAGAGACAAGCGTCGAAGAGGCTGGCGCTCCAGCCGGGAACAGGTCAGGGCACAGGCGGAGCCCGAATGCTCAGTCACTGGCGTGCAGGCGTCGTCGTGCCACCACAGACCACATACAGATCCCTTAGTATAGAGGCCTCTCAGATGTGTTCCGAGTAGTAAGATGGGGTTGCAAGATCTGGCGCTCTGGCTGACCCCCGTTTGCATGGACCCCCCTCTCAAGGCTCCCTTTTTCTTTGGGAGTCACTGCATGGGGGGGCGATTGATTGAAGGGGGGAGGAAGCTGGCCTTTCGGGGCCCTATAGGTCCCCGTCTGGGCCTCAAAAGGCCCATTGAAGGGCCCTAGAGGGCCCCTTTTCTGCAGCCCTCGCTGCCCAAACATTTACCTTCCCCCCCCCCTTGCGCGCCCCCCAAATGTCGCCGCAACGGGAGGATGTCGGGTGCTTCGGTCACGTTTGGGGCAGCCCCTGGGCTCTTCTCCCGCGCGCAGGTGGGAGGGCGCCCCGTCGCAGTGCGCCCTCGCCCTCCCCGCCCCGGGGAGGGGCGCGTCCGGCGGGCGATCCCCGCGTTGCCTCAGGTCGGGCGTGTCCTCCTACAGGCGGATTTTGGAAGACAGCTTTAAAACAGCTTGTAACAAAAAACGCAAAACAAATAGTAAACATAAAAAATATATCGGAACATCATTATGGTCGTCATGTAGAGGGACATGCCCGACCCAAGCGTTGTTGTGACCTCGCCCGCGCCCGCGCGGAGGGCTCAGTCGCGGTCCTGGGGGGGGGGAGGGCGCCGCCATCGGCTCCTCCTCTGGTCGCCTCCTCCGTCGGTGGCCCTGCTCCTCGTCCTCCCTCCTCGTCCTCCCTCCTCGTGGTCTGGACGATTGCTCTCCTTTATCTCGTCCTTCTGCTCTGCCAGGTCGTGGCCGCGACACCCCTCAAGGCCAAAGTATCCGTATCACTGCCACGCGCGATGCAACACCGTGGATGCAAATGGCGAGGCGCTCACACCCCTATGGGGCACATGGAGGACAGGAGGTCTGGCCAGCTGGGGTTGCACAGCACGTTCCGGAAGAGCCTGTCCGGAACGTGCTGTGCAACCACTTCGTCGTCGTCGTCGTCGTCGTCGTCGTCTCGTCGTCGTCGTCGTCGTTGTCGTCGCCCTCTTGCTGTCCTGGAGTGGGCGGTCGGGAACAGAGACATCAGATTGTGTGCAAATGCGTATGCGCCTGCGCCTCTTATCCCAATCCCTGGGATAACGAGTGCGCGGGCATATTCATTTTCGGTGTCAAAACTGTGTATGCCATCTTGGTGCTCCCCCGTTTCAGGTATCCCCCCCAGGACTGTCATCAGGAACCACCTCGACGCGCGCGCGCGCCCCCCTCCCTCTCGACCCCCCCCTGGGTGAGGACCGTCTCTAGGCCTTACCCGTGAGGACCATCATAGGCCTCACACCCCGCGCAGCTTCCATCATAGGGGCTGCGTGGGTTCCCCACCCACACCTTTTCATGATGGCGCCAATTGCCACCGGAGGGGGCCGAGGACCTCCCTGCAGCCCCTCGGCCAAAGAAGACGGCTGCAGGGAGGGGTCCAACGTACCTCCACACCATTACACCGCTTCACCTTCACATTATGGCGCCAATTGCCACCACGCGATTTTCCTCCCTCCCTCCCTCCCTCCCTCCTCCCTCCCTCCCTCCCTCCTCCCTCTTCGTCCTCCCTCCCTCCCTCCCTCCCTCCCTCCTCTCTCCTCCCCCCTCCTGACCCCTCCGTCCCTCCGTCCGTCCCTCCGTCCGTCCTCTTCCCCCCTTCCCTTCTCCTCCCCTCCGTCCTGCCCCTCTCCCCTGGGATGGGGAGGAAGGAGGGCGCCGACCGTTGTCCTCCTCCAGCCGCCTCCTCCGTCGCCAACAGCCTGCTCCCCGTCCTCCCTCTCGCCCTCTCCCGAGATCCTGGCCTGTCACTGCCTCGCAACTGGCGATCGTTGCCCTGTCTCGGGCCCCGGGGCCCTCAAGGATCGACCCAGCACGTGGACAACATACTCGAATCCTCGCACACTTGAGGGGGATGTTCAGGACCCCCCCGCCCCCGAAATCAATGTTGACTTTAGCATGGGTGGTGGTTTGGGGGGTTCAGTATTTCTGCCCGGTCCCCCCTTGCCCTCTCCATTGCCGCACCCTCAATGAATAGTTTGGGGGTCAAGGGGGGGATAATCTTGTGCCGCAATGTTCGAACATTTTCTCCATGTACGGTCTGGCTCGAAATATGCAGCAGGAAACTGACATTTCGATGACATTGAGGCCAAGAGTGTCTTGATGGGACCAGGGCTCGAACTGGTCTTGAGGGGTCCAGGGCTCCCGTCGAGTTTTTGTATGCGTTGTTCCTCTTGTCGTGACGCAAGATCACAGGGTACTTGCAGGATGGGGAGCGGGAGGGGAGCTTGGGAGTGGGCCTTCCTGCCCCCTGCCCCTCCTCCGCTGCCCCTCCTCCTCATGCTTCGCCTCCTCCTCCTCCTCCTGCCAGCTTTTCTCACACACCCAGATGCAATCTTGAATACGGCACCTGCCTATGACATGGTTGCGCACGCCTCCTCCTCCTCCTCCTCCTCCTCCTCCTCCTCCTTCTCCTTCTCCTGCTCCTTCTTCTCCTCCCTCATCCCTCCTCCCTCCTCCCTCCTCCCTCCCCCTCCTTCCTCCACCCTCCTCCCTCCTCTCTCCTCCCTTCCTCCTCTCCCCACCCTCCCCGTCTCGCTCCCTCCTCCTTTCTCCCCGTCTCACCCCTCCTCCCTCTCCCTCCTCCTCCCCTCCTCCACCCCTCGCCTCCTGCGCCGACCGCTGGCCCGCCTGCGCCCGAGCATCTGCAGACAGACCGCCCACCGCCCAGAGGAGCAAAAAAAAACACGACGGGCGCTTTTGCTCTGCTGTTCTCCTCTGGTGGCAGCTCGGCGCAAATTCATCATATTCGCTCCCTCCTCATCTTCCTGCCTTTGCTCCGCCGCTCGTTCCAGAGCGGTTGTTGTGAACTGAGCGGCTCTGACCTTCTGCTTGCACCGCCGGAAAGCGGAGGCTCCACCGTGTGCGCGCTATTCTTTTGCTTTGCCCACGCGCTCTGGCATGTGACAAGACCGACTGACATGTGCTGCTTTCGGGGCCCCGGGACCGTGAACAGAATGCTCCGGGAAGTGGCGCCTGCCCGGATGAAAGGGTCGGGGCTCCTGGGAGCCCCGCCTCGAACAGACCAAGGGCGTCGGAGGCGTGGGATCCTGGCAAGGCGCTCCCCCCCTCGCCCCGAGGAGACTTGGCATGTGCCGGCATGTTTCGGGCATCTGCCGGCCCGGGTCAGTCGGGCTCTGCAGGATCCTGCGCGCTGGCCCGGGTCAATGCGACCCCGGCTCTGCAAGATCCTGCAAAGGGGTGGCGCTCTCGCTGACCCCCGCTTGCACTGCCTCCCGGCCCAGGGCGCCCAATCTTTTGTGGGGGGCCCTCCTCCCGGGAGCGGCGACGATAGGTCCGGCTCAGTGTTCTGTCGGGGCCGCACGCGCGAAGCCGATCGCGTGCAGCTATCCTCGTGGTAATCTCTGGCCCTTGGGGACCATCGGCGCCACGGCTGGATTCCTGTGGGCCTCACGGGTGGCAATGAGGGCGATGATGAGACGCACCGACATGCATACTCGAGGTATGCGGTACGACAAAGGGGCCGCGCTTCGGATGTGGCACGGTATACGTAGCACCCCGCAGTGGCGGATACGACTGAGGGGGCGGCGGAGTCGTGGGCAGTCTGCCAGCTCTGAAGAAGTTCGCCGCAAGCGCGATGTGTTAACACATTGCGTAACGAACCCGCCGCAGGCGCCGATTTTGCGTCAAAGCAATGTGGATGGGTCGGGGTGGGTCGCGGGGTTTGTCGCGGGGTGGGTCGGTCGGTGGGTCGCGGACGGGTCGCGGGCGAGGAAGACGACAACAAGAACAACAGTAAGTTTAAGACTGTTCGCTCCTGTCTGCTCGCGTGCCATTTAACACATATCTATATGTATATACGCATACATAATTTGATCCAAAAGCCTCGGTACCCGCCCTCTTCGTCTTCGATCGTGCCACTGTCCCTGAAGCCGGGGAAGGGAAGACGGATGGAAGGTGGGAGAAGAATAGAGCACGATAGAGATTGGCAGGAAAGGGCTAGGGGCAGAAAACACGTGGGAGACCGGGACGGGCAGATCGGGCGGGTTGACCCTAACGGGCGGGTCGGGAAGGCGAGCCCATGCGGCCAGATCGAGCATGCGGGTTGCTGAAGCGTGAGTCCTGCATGAATCGCGGGGATGTCTGAAGCGATAGCGCGATTCCCCAACAAAATGTTAGCAAGGCCAGAGCGAGAGCTTGATTCCTGAGTGTCGTGGGCGCGGCGTCTGAATACATTGCGAGGAAGTCAAACGCGAGAGCGCGATTCCTGGATAAATTGTGAAGGGGTCCTGCGCAAGCGCGCGGTTTTAAATAAATTGAAGAAGTATGAAGCGGGGGCCATTGTTGTTGTACTTCGGGGGCCAGTCACACAATCCGAGAAGGACGGCCTTCCAATGTAAAAAACAGGGTGCGAGCCACAGGAGAAGCACTTCATTGGAAAAAACACCTTGTGCACCAGGCAGGGGGGATCAACTACATTCATTCTCTGGGAATGAGAACTCAATAGTCGCTGGCGCGCTCCTTGGCGTCAGGGGCGGCGCTGGAGGCGCCATCAGAGAGAAAGACAATGATCGCGTGGGAAGACAAAGTTGGGATAAACACACTCAACGTGCGCGATAATACGGGTGACCTGGTCATTTCTTCCAGACACATCTTCAGAACCTGAGAGTTGTCTTTCTGAATCAGGTGGGGCCAGTGCCGACCCAAATCCGCGCGGACCTCCGAAAGTTTGCATCTGTTCAGGTGTGTTGGGTGTTGCTCGAAGTGTTCATGGAGGCAAGCAATTGTTGTCTCACGAAGGCTTACTTTCCCATTCTGATCATCAAGAAGCTCCTGCTCCTCCCCCCTTCCCCTCCTCCAGCTCACCCTTGCCTCGCCCTCCGCGCATCTTCATCCCCGTCCTTGGTCCCCAACCGTGCGGCAGCCCCCCGCCCACAAGTGCAGATTTATAGATCCCAAATCTGTAGAACCCACTTGCTCCCTGATGCGCAATTTCGTAAACGGAGGCGAATTGCGGGTCTAGCCGCAACTCACGAAAAGATGGAGTCGGAACTGCCGGCGCAAGCCGCTCACACGACGTATGTATAACTGCGAGGCACGAAGACGAATTGAGTGGTGTGCGTCTCGGCTCGCCCTCGCAGAAAAGAAGGCATCACGCCGCCCCTTCCAGTGTTGAACGAGGAAGGCGCCGAAAGCAGGTTGGGCTTGTATCTCTGTTCACGTCGTTGTGACTCTGTGCGTGACGAGGGCCCTCGGGATATGTGCCCTTATTGACAAAACACAGGGGAGCAGGGTCGGTGTAGGTGGATTGCTGTCGCTCATGCTCCACCTCCTCCCAGAGCTTTAAAAGTTGATGCTTATGCCATGTTTTATGTTTCGTGTTTTATGCTTATGCACACCCCTTCTCCTCCGCGACCCTGAATGATCCCTGAGATCCGACGTCACGAGGAATGCAAAATCGGAAAGAAACGCGACCTCAACCCTGGACTCCTTCTTCCTGCGGGATGTGTCGAACTGGATTGATCCGTGCGCCCCAAGAACCTCACGGCGTGAGCTTCTCGGGGCGCGAAACAGGGCAAACAGCCCGTTACAAAACACGCGAAGCCAAGACATCAGTGGCGATTCGGGATCATGCCAGTCGGGATTTTTACACGTTTGGGATCCGAAGTCTAGGGAGCCCGCAAAGGACGTACGCGCCCAGCTATGTACATGAACACGGCCCCTCGATTCGCGAGACCCGCCGCGTTATACGAACATTTGTGCAATGCGTGCTCTCGAAACCAGCGTGGATTCATGTACATGTACGTCCTTGTTTCGCTCCTGAAAGTCTGGACCCTGGAACCCGTTTCTCATCCTGACTCGCTGTTTGACGGTCCAGGAGCCAAGCGAGCGCCCCCAAAGGCCGAACATTAGCAGAAGCCCCTCCGCCGTGATCTGTTCCACCACGCGAGCACGTCGGGGCTGGATCTTTCTCCCTCCCTCGCCCTTGGCCGATGACAAAACGCTGGAGGCGTGTTCGTTGTTCCCGCCATTTCCATCCTTCGGTTTTGTGGCCAACCGAAACGGAATGAAACTGCAGCCGAAAGAAGACATCACAGACTACGATGCACACCGGACACGAAGCGAAAGCGGAGCGACCCAGCGTCCCAACACGGAACACATAACGGCAACGTCTGATGTTCCAAGCGCTCTTAAGCGGTAAGAACGCAAGGGCCCTGGACACCCAGGCCGAGGCTCTTCGAGCCGGGCTGGCCATCGAAAGTGATTGATGACGGACCGATGATGGTCGAAGAGGCAAGGATGCAAGGGTACCCTTCGTAAGTTGATCATCCTTGTACCAGGGCTGGCTGTGAGCCCCCCCGCCGCCCGCGAGGTCCCACTTGCCCTTGCCCTTGCCCTTGCCCTTGCCCTTGCCGTCGTCGACGCCGTCGCCGCCGCCCAGGGCCGGGCGCGACGGGCGCATCTTGGTGAGCGTGGAGGGCTGCACCTCGGCGGGCTTCTCGCTGCTACCTCCTCGCCCTCCTCGCTGCTCCTCCTCGCCCTGCTCCTCCTCGCCCTCCCCCTCCTCGTCGTCGGCCTCCTTCTCCCCGTCCTCCTCCTCCTGCTCCTCCTCGCCCTCCTATTCCTCGTCGTCGTCACCCTCCTGCTCCTACTTCTCCTCCTTGCCTTCTAGGCGGCGAGCCCAGGGGGGAAGTGAGCAGGGGCGGGCCTTCTCAGAAGGCTCGGAAGTCCCCCAGCCTTCTGAGAAGTTCCTTACGCCGCCCCCGAAGGCACAGGATGCTTCTCAGAAGGCGCGAGGGCTTCTCAGCAGTCCTGCCGCCTTCTGAGAAGGCCTTCTCCTTCTCGCTTCCCTCCCTCGCTCGCCGCCGATCTTCCTGCGGCCGCGGCGGACTCTCGCCGCGGTGTCCGCGGCGCGCCCGGCAAGGCGCGACGCGGCTGCCCTGCTTTTCCTCAAACCTCGACACCACTCACCCTCAACAAACCGTGTCCTCCTCCTCCTTCTCCTCGCGCCTCGCTCCACGCTCAGTGCTACTCCTTCTTCGCTCTTCCTCCTCCTCCTCCTGCTGCTGCTGCTCCTCCTCTCTCCTCCCTCCTCCTCCTCCTCCTCCTCCATCTCCTCCTCCTCCTCCTCCTCCTCCTCCTCCTCCTCCTCCTCCTCCTCCTCCTTCCGCGCGTCCGCGCGGGAGCTCTCCGACGACGACGAGGACGACGGACGACGAGCGACAGACGACGGACGACGGCCTACGACGACGACGACGACGACGACGACGACGACGACGACGACGACGACGACGACGACGACGAGGCGTCGAGGGCCGCACCTCGGCGGGGAGATGCAGGACCTCGCGGAGGTACTCGATGCCCTCGTTTGTCAGGAAGTAGTAGTGCCACTGCCAGTTAAACTTCTCAGACAGGTAGCTGCGAGAGGCGAGAGACCTGAACCAGGGAGACGCAAGACTCGGGCGCGGGGGACTCAAATTGCCCCGACGGGGTCGTCAGGGAGATGACGGGACCCAGCTCGAATCTTGACGCGAGCCCTCGCTGCAGACATCCTACGAAAACTCTGCCTTCAAAAATCAGGACGGGCCCGTCAGAAAGCGTCGGCCACATGGTCTCTGACGAACTATAGCCTTACGGTTCCCCGACTGATAATAAACTTGCGCTATATATCCCCAATTGGGCTGTCATAGAGGGTTCTTACTGATTTCTGTTGGCATTTCTACTCAAATTTGTGCCTGGAGGCCGCGTCTTAGATGCTCGTTCTGGGGACCGTCCCGGATCTACTCGCTCCACTCATGCGTCGATGCTGCGTCGAACATCCGTCGACTTGAGTCGAGGTTGCGTCGGACTTGATTCGAGCTAGAATCGAACTAGAATCGAACTGCTAACCTCGTCAACATCAAATTCACAAGCGCGTGATGTAATTTACTCGTACATTCCTTGGTCTGGGTATGGTTGACACTGCGTGCGAAGTTCTTGTTTTCGCCCGCTCACTCCTGTGTCGGTCATCGTGGAAGTTCCGAGTCATGCCAGCCCAGACCGCGATTCGGTCTGCTTTGACATTGAAGGGTGCGAAATCGACGGGGCGAAAGGAAGCAACATTGAAAAAATGCGTCAACCACTTTTGAAGTCTATTTTGTCGAAAATGGTAGAGTCGAGCTGGAGTCGAACAAATCCGTGACTTGGGTAACTAGGCCCCAATAAGATTCCAACAACGCACATCTAAGATGTCCCTTCCTTGTCCAACCAAAAAGCCTCCCGTGGGATTCCCGTGCCTGCCCGCTCGCAAACGGCGCACGTCGCGCTGCCAGCGCTGCTGCCCGGAAGCCTGCCAAGGAGGCTCACACTCCGAGCGTGCCAGCTAGCGTCCAGCAGCCGTCGCACTGGTGACCGTTTTCCTATTCCCCGTTTCGACATTGGGCGGAAGGGGGAAGAGTGGGGGGGTGTCTAGATCCGCACATCTGCTCAATGCGACTGTTTGCAACAGTGCGTCCTATGGTGGGGACTCCACCTGCTTGAAACAGGCACCAAAAACGGCCAAAATCTAAAAACGATCACCCAGGATTTTTGTTCCGAGACGGGGACCATTCCATTGTACACCCACGTCGCATCGATACTCCAGGCCAGCGTCTGGGCAGCTCCTCAGAATCACCAGCGACTGAAAGAGGCAGAAACACGACCTATCCGATGTCGAGGTGTCCAATGGCTTGCATCCTGGCAACGCAGCTACCAAGATGCAGGCCAGGAAAAACTCCGAGCATGCCCACTCCCGGCGGCCATTGCGTTGCCAGCGTTGCTGCCGGGAGGCAGGCCTCGAAACTCACTCCGAGCGTGCCCGCTCGCTTGCGGCGAACATCGCGCTGCCAGCATTCTTGCTGAGAGGCTTGCCAGGAGGCTCGCTCCAAGCGTGCCCGCCCGCTCCCCGCGGCCCTCGCGTTCGCAGTGCTGCGGCCAGGATGCAGGCCGGGACGCTCGCCTCGAGCGAGCACAACCGCTCGGACCGCACACCGCGTGGCCCGCGTAGCTGCCACGATGCCCCCTCCGAGCCTGCCCGCCCGCGGGCACGCCACATCGAGTGACCAGCGCTGCGGCCCAGAAGCTCACTCCAGTGGTGCCCGCGCCCGCTCGCGTGCGGCGAACGTTCGCGTCCGCCGGCCTTGCTGCGCTTGCCCGAGGACTCGCTTCGAGCGCGCCCGCTCGCTTGCGGCGCACACCGCCTCGCCGGCGCTGCTGCCAAGAGGCTTGCCAGGAAGCTCACTCCGAGCGTGCCCGCTCTCGGTAGCCCGTCGCGCTGCATGACGCAGCAGGCGCGCCCGCTCTTCTTGAAACGCGCCTCGCATTGCCAGCGCAGCTGCCAGGAATCTCGCTCAGAGCGTGCCCGCTCGCGGGCCCGGCACGTCGTGTGCTCGTGCGGCCAACTTTGTTGCCAGGAGGCTCGCTCCAAGCGAGCCCGCTCTCCCGCGAGCCACCTCGCTGTGAGCGTCGTGGCCGGGATGCAGGCCAGGAAGCTCACTTCGCAGTTGCCAGAGACCTCACTCCAGGCGTGCCCGCTCGTGGGCACGGCACATCGTGCGGCCGGCGTTGTTGCCAGGAGGCTCCCTCCAAGCGTGCCCGCTCGCTCCAACCAGTCTTCGCGTTGCGAATGCTGTCGCGAAGATGCAGGCCAGAAAGTCCACTTCGAGCGTTCTCGCTTGCTTTTTGAAGCGCACATCGCGCATAATTGACAGTAAGCTGACTCCGAGCATGTGCGCTCGCGGGCCAGGCACATCGCGAGGCCAGCGTGTTTGGCAGGAAGCTCCCTCCGAGCAGCCTGCCAGCTCGCTTGATGCGCACACCGAGTGACCAGCGAAGCTGCCAGAAAGCTCGCTCCAAAGGGGCCCTCTCGCGGGCCAGGCATAACTGCGACAGCAAGCCCCGGAGCCGTGCTCTCTTTTGCTCCCGAATGCACCGGCCCACTGTTGGCTGCCCGGCCCGCCTTGCCAACGCATGCGCGAAAACTGGCCACACAGCGTCGTTTCTTGCTCTTCATGGTTCCCGTGCCCACCTGCACTGTCCCTCCCCCCAGACTGTACTTCTACCCAGCCGCGCCGTTTTTGTGAGTTTTCTTCTTCCTAGCCTGTACTTGCGCGTGCCAGCTTTCCCGACACTGGCCGCTCCCTGGTGCCTACTGTCTCCCCAATAAGAGCTTTGCGTAGCCCGCCTAGCTTTTAACCGGAAGAGATTCGCTCTCGCCCCGCAGACCAAAAAATACCTGGTGCCTGCCTATTGGCCTTGCAGCAAGACGTCTTTTGCGTCGTCCCCCCCTGGGTCTGGCATTTTCCGCAAAGTGGTTCAGACCTAGGGAAGAGCCAACGGAAGGAGACGCATCGTCCTGTCATGGTGTGCCCTGCCCACGTCTGCTGTCATCTGCAACTCGTGGCTCCCGTGCCCACCCGCCCTGCCCACCTTCGGCTCCCAGCCCGAGCTCAGAAGCGAAAACAAACCCTCGAGGCTTGTTCCCCTTCCGGCATTCTGGGGTTGCTAGGTTTAACAAATATTTCAAAAAAGAAAGCTACCGGCACACGTTTCGTGGACGCCAGGCCCGAAGTGTGCCGGTGCTCCATGGGCATCTCTCCTCGTGCCTTCGACGAATGACGACTGCATCCTGCGGCCACCCGTCCCAAGAGTGTGCTCGTGCTGCGCGGGAATCCCACCTCGCGCTCTCGGATGGGGATCGCTCGGAGCAAAACAATTTTCTTGAGGCTTTTCGCCTCCTGTCCGCCGAACTTTGGGATCCCAGCGTGCCTGGCCAGCGTTCTGGCGCAAGCGAGTTACAGCGCCGTGTTCTCCTGCATGGTTATACAGCTCCCGGGCCTTCCTGGCGAACTCTTGGCTCCCAGCCCGCCTGGCCAGCCAGCGCACAAGCCAAAACCAACCCCAACCAGGCCTAAGCTGGACCGAATCTGAAAATCGGATCGGATCGGATCGCCAACGCATCGTCCCTGATCGAATCGGCATAGAATCGCCGCTCACGGCCCCGACAGGCATCCAGCCGATGCCGGTGAGAAGAACCCAATCGAATTGGAACCGCGGCCCCAGCCAGCGAAGCAAATCGAATCGCATCGAATCGTGGGCGGATCTGCCTGGTTTCTTCAATGTCATGGCTCCCGTGTCCACGTGCCATTTTTCTGCGCCACTCCCTGCGCAGCAGCGCATGGAGGAGCGGGAGGAGCAGGACGCCGATGGTAAATGACTGATTCCACAGCGCTGGCTGTGACGGCGCAGCGGTAACTCGAGCGTAGCGACCCTTTCGCATTGCATAACTTGCGCGGCAAATTATCATGACCCAGGGCTGGCTTTCCAGGAATATGTTATGCTGCTCCTCGTCCTGCTTCCTACCTGTTGACTGCTCTTGGTCCTTTCTCTGCTGGTTGTCCATTGTACTGCCTCCCACGACGAGCACAACGCAAGGCCGCAAACAATGGACAGGGACCCTGCTGGGGCCAAAACTTGGGGGTCCCAAAGCGGTGAAGTGACGGACCGTGCCCCAGCCTCGAAACCCCCCAAGACCTCACCGCACGGTCCGTCGCCGCACCGTGTTGAGACCCCGGCTGCCCGAGACATCCTCGACGACCCGAATCCCAACACCGTGCGGCCACCCGGAACCCCCACGGACTCGCCACGCGATGTGGGTGAAAGTGGGGGTCGGGCGCAGGGTCCCGGCAATGATGTCTTTTAAAGTCATGAATGGGCGATGCATCGTCGATTGCTGTGTTCGGCGGGGGAACTAATTGAAGCCCCCCGCCTGCACCCGCGCGCGAGACTTGAGGGGAAAGGAAGCAAGGGGGCGGGGGGCTCGGGAAAGGCGACGAAGGCAACGTGCGCTAAGGGCGCAACAAGAACAGGCTGGAACACGCGAAAGCGGTCGGGTGAGTGTCGAAATCTGCCCAGCCAATCTGGCATGCGGAACACTGCGCCTCAGTTTGGGGGATCTTGAAGGCCAGGGCAAAATGTGAATTCACAGTGTGGGGAAAAGCAAAATGTGAATTCACATTTTGGGAAAAAGGAAAATGTGAATTCACATTTTGGGAAAAAGGAAAATGTGAATTCACATTTTGGAATTTTGTGTAGGATTCTTTATGAAGGGGCCAGAATGTGAATTCACATTTTGGGAAAAAGGAAAATGTGAATTCACATTTTGGGAGAAAGGAAAATGTGAATTCACATTTTTGGAGAATCGCGGGGCCCATTCCAAATCTGTCTTGGGGGTCGAGAAGTCATCGTTTGGGAACATACGCGATCATCAACCGCACAATCAAGACACACTTGCACTCCACTTCGCCGACCCACGCGCAATATGCAAGAACGCCCGCACGCATGAACGATAATGGATGGACGGCGCGCGTGCCCGCGCGGGCAACGCGCGGGCACGAATGACTGGCCACCAATGACCGCCAGCATTGGATGCCAATCGTACCCGATCACATACATGAGCGATACATTGAGCATACATGGGCCATTCAGCCCCCATTGAAGACCCCCTGTTGCAGACCCCCTCTTTCACCCTCCAAACTGAGCGGAGCGGAGCGGAGCGGACGCCCCACCGACCGGGACAGGAATCGGGGCGGCAGGCGTGGAGTCCGCAGCCTCTGCACCCCGGGAGGCGGGCGGCCAAGAGCAGCACGGCGCCCGAGGGCGGCGGAGGGAGGCGTGCCGGGAACAGCGCGGCTGCCAGCTCGGAGAGCGTCGCTGACCCGACCCCTCTTGCCCAACGGCGTGGCCTGGGCCCCGCTGGCCGAGTCACCCCCGTGGACGGGGGCGCAGGCCGTTCCCTTCGGCTTTCGCGGGGTATGTCCCCAACTGGGGTGCTGAGATGGCGGGGGTCGAGATGAGGATGGGGATGGGGATAGGGGTCGGTTAAGCGATACTGGGGCTCTTTCCCAGGAGCGGAGGGAGCCATCGTCGCCGTCGTCGCCGTAGCCGATAGTCAGTCGATCGTCGCTCGTAGATCGTCGGTAAATCGCTCGTTATCGGCGTGCTCGTCGTCGTCACCATCCGTCGTCGTGTTGACGGCCAACGTCGTTGGCGGCGGCGAGGAGCCTGAGGACCATCATCACGTGCAGATTCGGGATGTCCTCGAGCTCGTTGTGCTTGCAGGCCGAGGGGTCGTGCTTAACGCACATGACCCCCTCCTTGAACAGGTGCTCCAAGATAATCTTGCGGTTCTTCTTCGAGATCAGCACCATGGCTGGACTGGAAAGCTTCGGGGAGGAGGCCGATCCGCGCTGGAATACCGCCGAGCCAAAAGGGCTGCAGAGCACGAGTACAGTGAAAGGGAGGCGGAGGAGGGAGGAGGTGAAGGAAGGAGTAGGAGTACGAAGGAGTAGTAGGAGGAGGAGGACGAGTAGGAGGAGGAGGAGGAGGAGGAGGAGGAGGTTGAGAACAAGAGGGGTAGAGGAGGAGGACGAGGAGGAGGAATACGGCCACGGCGAGAACGGCGAGGTGGAGGAGCGGAGCGGCAGCAGCGGAGATGCCCGAGCAGGGAAGGCAGCGAAGAACGAAGAGGAGGTTCGTGGCAAGGAGGGGGGAGGGATATTGTGACGAGAAGAGGGACGCGGAAGAAGAAGGAGGGAGGAAGCGGGATGAGCAAACGTGTGTGTGTGTGTGTGTTTGTGTGGTGTGTGTGTGTGTTTGTGTGGTGTCTGTGTGTGTGGTGTCTGTGCCTGTGTCTGTGTGTGTGCGTGGGTGGGTGGGTGGGCGGGTGAGCGGGTGGGCAGCGGGGGATGGCGAGGAGGGGAGGATGACGATCGCGAAGATGACCAGCAGCGGCATGAAGAGAACGAGGAGAGCGAGGGAGGAGGGGGAAGGAATCGGGAGGGATCGAGTGCCAGGTAGAGCAGCAACACCACGAGTCATGAGCAGGGAGAACGACAAAGAGGCTCCAGGAAGAGCAGCCGAACGATCAGAAGAAGGATCCGGCACGCCCTGGCTGGCCTGGCGGGCAGATGGTCCCTCGCAGCTGGATGTGACATCGTGCGAAGGCATCCGAAGAGAATTCTGGGCTCGCTCTTTGCTTTGAAGGGATGGATGTTCTGGCGGATGCCTCGCCTGCTCGCCGCGCCCCACAGTGCGAGCAGCTGGACTTCTGGGCCCAGGGGGAAGCTTGGAATACTTCGAGCTCCTGGGAGGGACTCGAAAGACTCCGCCACATTCGAACGGCCCGAGGGGGTTGCGAAGGGGACAGGTGGCATGTCTTCACAGGCGAGGGCAAGGTGGATCAGAGTGGGGGAGGGGGAGAAGAGCCACGTCGAGCCCCAAACTGCCCCAGATCATGCCGGACTGGGCGAGGTCAAGACTGTGGATCAGTGGCGAGCTGGGTCCAGCAGGCGATCGAGCTCGCGGCGGGGCGCCTCCGAAGCGAACTGGGCACAGAGCATTCGGTTGAGCATTCGGTAGGTGGTTATACCCCGCAGGGTAGCGTCCATCCCGGGCCGGGTGGAAACACCCCGCAGGGCCTATATCCCCGCGGCTCCGGGGTGGGGGCGTTGTCCCGCAGGACCTGGCCCTGGAGAGCAGCAGGCTGGAGTAGGGCAGGCGGAGAAGTGGGGGTAGGGCCACGGGACGGCCGGCGCGCCCTCGGAGCGTGAAGATCTTCTTCGGGACGTGCCGGAGGCAGGACCCTGCGCTCCTCGCTCTGCTCCGCCTGCTTCTCCTCATCCTCGTCCTCCTTCTCGTCCTCCTCCTCGTCCTCCTCGTCCTCCTCGTCCTCCTCCTCCTCCTCCTCCTCCTCCTCCTCCTCCTCCTCCTCTGGTGCGCGGCTTGTTGGGGGCCGTGGCCAAACACAAGCGCGCAAGCCGCTGCTACCTCTTCGCTTTCGGCCACCCGAGGAACCAGCTGTGCTCACACCAAACTGTCCCTCTGGCACAAGGTCACTCTTACGCCCAGTCGAATCGAGAGAGACCAGGCCAAAGCTCGTTCCAGGCGCCAGGGGGCCGGCGCACTCTCAGCTCGCAGAGCTGCGGCCTCGCCCCCGGGGCCGCTCGCTATCCGACGCCGGTGCTGTCCCGAAGCGCCCCCGCCGCAGAAGGCACCACATGCACCACCACCACCGCCACGCCTGGCCAGGGGTCAGGACCATCCTGGGCCCCGGCACGGTGTATAGGCCCGCCTTCAGGAAGCAACTCCTGGGAGGAGCTCGTCAGAACCAGCGGGAATCCCAAGCAGTGCGCTACTGTACTGTGGAGGTGGAGGTTATGCAGTGTGAGTTGTGTGGTAGAAGCAGTGTCGCGTCGGCTGTGTGGTGCGAGCCATGAAGGCGACAAATATACGGTGTAAGGCTGTGCGGTGTAAGCGATGCGGTGTGCACTGGAGGTGGGATATACGGGGTGTAGACATTTGGATGTAAGCTATCCTGTGCAAGCTATGCTGTGTAAGCTATGTGGTGCAAACTATGTGGTCTAAGCTCTGTGGTGTAAGCTATGTGGTGAAGAATTTGTTGTGCACGCTTAGAACACGCGGCGCCCATGAGGCGCCCACGAGGGGGCTCGGGCGGCAACCTACCGCAACCTTGGAAAACCCGCCCAACGCAAGAGGCGCCAACGAAACGCCCACGAGGCGGCACGGGCTGCAACGTGTAGCCCAGAACACCCAACCAATTCCTTAACATAGTGAAATACGAGCCCCTGAGTGCAGGCCCTGCTTCGGAGGTTAAGCACGGTTAAGGGGCCACTACGCCGAATCAAATTGAACCCACAATTAAATCGGTTTAGGCTGGATTAAACCGAACTCAACGGGATGATGCCACATTAGGTCAGCTTTCGACCATGGGTACACGCTGAAGTCCCTCCCACCGTAATACTCCGGGATGGCCCCGGTGACTTCTGGTACAGCGGAGGCGTCGGAAATCCAGCGGCTGAGAGTAGGCCAAGAAACAATGACATAAATACAAAATTGAAAGGTCCGCACGGATTCCTCGGACATGCGCTGGACCCCCCTCCATGGCGCACGGAGCGCGCCAGGGGCGGCGCTGGAGGCGGCGCCTGGAGGCCTCCAATATAGGGTCAGAGCATACAGGGTCAGAAGATCGCGCCGCATCGCCGATGCATCGGCGACATCAGCGATGCATCGGCGCCGTCGGCGTGAAGAAAATCGATCTCTCCGTCGAGCCGCATCGCCGGTGCCGCATCGCCGATGCACCGGCGATGCGGCGAGATCCTCCGAATCCACCTACCCCAGCCCGAGTTGGGGCCGAGCGAACGAGCGACCACCGCTGTGGACAAGCGTCCAGGCCTAGCTCACACCAGGTGGGTGAGGCCATGGCTTCTGGGTTTTGGAGTGTCTGGACACACACAATGCGAGATAGATAAGAAGTTAGGAGGAGCGGGGAGGAGGAGGAGGAGGAGGAGGAAGATCGCACCTAATTGCGCTCAGGTTCGTCGGCATCACGCAGCGAGAGCTTGTGCCGCCGCATCCTTGATATCAAAATGTTGCTGGTATATACTGTTGGCGGGCCCATCCAGACAAAGCCACATTTTATGGAAAATCTTGAAAGCGAAAGCTAGGAAAAAAATTCGGACGCTCCCTGGAGACCTCCCCCGTGCACTCGTTCTCCTCACCCAGACCGATGCGGACGAGCACCGACTCTGGCAGGGAGGAGCGAAAGAGGGCCAGGAGGTGAAGGAGGCGGGGACAAGTGAGGTAGTGAGCGATCGAATCGCCTGCGTCGGGGAAGTTAAAAACGCATCCGCGCTGTCCAATTATGTGCATTCTGCTTGTCGTGACCCAGCAACCCGAGGGACGCGTCTGGACCAGCGCTGCGCGGAGGGCCTGCCAGCGGGGGCCAAAAGGAGGAACTACGAGGTCGGGGAACCAAGCGCGGACTCGCTTTCACAGCGTGAGGTGCAATCTGTCTGGGAAAAGAGACCGGGTGAGGGAACGAGTGTACACCCCCCGGACACGGGAACGCCTCTGCAGCCCTCGACCGAGCAACGCCGCTTGGGAAGCGGCCTCGGCCGCCGCACGTTGGGGCTCAGAGGGGACCTTGGGGAGCGCCCTGTGTGAAACCCCGATCGTGGAAGTATTGCGCAATCGCTTGCTTGGACTGCCAGCGCGGGGGGGGAAAGGGTTTTTGAACCACCCGCACCAGCGGAGCGTGCTCAAGGGTAGCGGTTTCGAGTTCCCCGAACCACGTTTACCATCCTGCGATCGTCTGTGCGGCTGCCCGCCAGCTGACCCCCGCCGAACTCACAGGGATCGAGAGAGGCGAGGCAAACGGCGACCAGTTTTTCATGCTCCCGACACCAGGGCCCGAAAAGTTGTTGGGAGGGAGCTTGAGGAGCTTGTGAAGACAGCGAGGCTCCTTGTTAAAGAGCGCTGGTGGTGGCGGGAAAAATTGCGCCACGTACCTGGCTATTGGGAGGATCGCGAATCCATAAGAGGCGGAGGGAGGAATCGGGAGGCGAGTCCAAAAAGAAGACACTTTCAAAATCCTCTCCAACCACTTCTGGCGACATGCTGCCCAGTGCTGCTCGGGTGTCGCTCATGCCGAAAGCCAAGTAATACCGAAATGTATGAGGAAAGGTGGGACGAGTTCATCCCCGACTCGCGTCGAGGTCAAAGCACCCCTGTAGAGGCCGGCGATCGCATTGATGTAACATGGTGAGAGGCCTGCGCGGGACAGAACAGCAAATAGCTATGCGCGGCTCATGCTGGGAAACGCCGCTTCGATGTCGAATGCGACGAAAATTGGCATGCGCCTCTTTGCAAGAGGGTGAAGACTTGCGATGCGGGCTCGAGCGTCTAAGCGAGCAACGTTGGCACAACAGCTTACGCCTGGAACGAACCCCTATTGAGAAGCGTGGGCGCGCTCGTGGGCTAGGCGCGCCAGGGGTCGATGAATGGCAGTTGCCAGGGCTTTAGCATCGCAATTTTCAAAGAGAAGGCCGGACCTCCGAAGCATCGCGCACGCAATCCTGCGCGTCGCCCGCTTTCTCACCCTTCGGTGGGAACACGAAGACTGAGTGACGAGGGAGGAACAGGCATGCCACTGAAGAGGCGGAGGATGATGGGGTAGAGGCAATCGATCGTCGATGGAGAACGCAAACCATGCCTGATAGGTGAGGCCGTCGGGCCCTGGAGCCGAATTACGACTGCGACGGGAGATCTTTGCTGGTGCTGCGCGACTGGGGATCCTTAGGTCGACTTTCGGGAAACGCGGCTGGTCCGATCAAACAATGCTTCAATATTTCAATATCAGCCGCAGGCACCGCTTGGTCGGAGAAAGCTGGAGCCCAATGCGAGCGGAGGGCCGCCGCGAGCTCGGTCGGCGCACGGGCAATCGGCGGCGTCACGGCGTCACGGTGGGCGGGGGGAGAAGGAAAAGGGTCCGATCTGCTCGTGACGGATGCCACGCAAGATCGAACACTTGGGAAAAAAGTGCCCAGAGAGCGGCACGCCGTTGAGACGCACGCTGCATCTTCCTCGAGTGCTCGACAGAGGGGGGCGGACAGCCTGGGCCGCACGAGCAGCGGCAAGACGCTGGTCGCGCTCGCCCAATTCCTGGTTCAAAGATGCAACAACTCAGTCGAACGCAGCAGCTGGGGACTGGTACCGCTCACATCCAAGAATTGGGCCCCAAGCTTGGTGGCACTCTGGTTGCGCCGTGCGGTGCGCATGTCCTCACGCAACACCGCGCGAGCAATGGCTCGCAGCGCGAGCCTCCTACCCTCGAGCGCGTTCTCGTCGCCGTTGCCGATGGGGAGCAGCTGCAGGTCGTCCTTGGCGAGCTGGGCCGCCAGGTGTATCGTCTGCATCGTGGCTCCATAGCGCCGCAGGTTGGTCATGTTGGCGGAGTCAAAACTCTCGATCGCTTTGAAGAACCACGTCTTGTGTGCGTCTTCGAACGGAACGCAGAATCTGGGATCGCTTGGTCCGTAGTGGCGTGCGACTTTTTTCGTAACGATCGTGAACCGCAGGATTGCGTGGTCACTGAGCCGGACGTCGTCCAAAGCAGGCGCATCTATTTTCACCTCGAGTGAGCAACTCAAGCGTGGTAGGAGCGCTGGCGGCTATGCAATGAATGCTCGATCAATGGACGTCCCCGTGTTGTGTCGCTTGGAGAAGTAGGTAGGGATGTCCGTTACTATCTCCACCACGCCATGACGAATATCTCCCGCCAAAAACTTTGGTGCTGCTGGTATCTTCCTTCGTGGGCCTGCCCATTCTGCAAACTTTGCGGGAGCAGATAGGACTGGGAGGCCAGCTCCGAGTAGTTGAAGCCCCTGATCGCAGGACGCCAGGAAGGTGCGGAACGTGGGCTCGGCCAGAGACCACGAGGCATGCTGATGTCAAGTGGTCCGTACTTGCTATCGCAAACCATGGTCCAGATCATGGTTGTGTACGTTCATGACCTGAGCTCAATCTGCTTGGCGACGTGCCGAATCTTGAGAACCGCAGTACGGCCAGGGACGATGACATCTTTCACGGGCAGGGGCGTGGGATGGAACGCGGTCGGCCGTGCGCACGATCATCTTGACACTGCTGCGTCTCCGTCGCCGTGAGCCCTGGGACGAGAAACGCAATTCCTCCAGCACCGCGGTCTTGACACCCGGAGAAGTATACGGACTAGTTGGCGGAAGCGGGATTGCGTTTCAGCATGGTCTCGAGCGCCTCCTTCGTGCCGTGGCATTCTTGGATAAAGACCCAATGCTCGGGCACGAAATGCTAAATTGAGCATGTTGAGCTTCAGTCGGCAACGGTGTGCAGGTCGGCAGATCAAGCCACGGCGTTCCACGAAACAACTTGTGAAGGTACATGTGTTTTGGTGGCCCCCCACGGGGCCCACTTGTCGTTAACCCCCCCACCGGAAGAGTCCACGTGGCGGAAGGCCGAGGAGGAGGAGGAAGAGGAGGAGGAGGAGGAAGTCCTTGGTGTCGGTGCAGGCGCGTGTGTCGTCTCGACTCCTCTTTTTTGTCTTGGATCACAGGGGGCGGCCCCCGTGTCGGAGAGTGGGCGTGCGGCTGCGCACGCCTGCCGACGTTGACAATGGACCACTCCACGCCGGCGGCCTCGCAGGTACCTGCCCAGAGGCGGGCCGCCGCCGTCCCTGCGCTCGCGCTCAAAGCGAGCCCGCTGCCGCTCCAACCTCGTCGCGCCCCGTGCACCGGGTGAGAACACGGGAGGACTGCGACTTCAGGGAGGCACGGGCGGTGTCTAGGTAGGGGGCCACATGCGAACCCTACCCCTACCCCCCACGGTTTCTGAGGGTAACGTCGTGATGCGATTGGGTCAGGATGCGTTCCAGGAGTCCTGGAGTATCTGGCGGCCCTCGTCTCGGGCGCCCGTGCGAAGCAGTATGTGGGAGATCTTGGGAATCTTGGAACGCATCGTTGCCAAGACTTCTCGTACCTCTGAGCGCCTGCAGTCTGCACAAAACGCTGCGTGCGCGCAGCGGCACCTCGCGATCCCTGAGAGGGGCAGCCGGCAGGAAGGTGCTGGTTCCCTTTATCAGCGCACATGCTTGGGGGACGGGGGGAAGGTCGACCGGGGAATCAAACAATTTCTTTAGCAAAACCCCGTCTGCCTACCACGCAGGAGTGACCCAGGGCAGGAGTGACACTTGATGCGTGGCTTTCAGAGGCCGCCGGGGGGTCAGGATGCTGGGGGAGACCTGTGGGCCCGCACCAAAGGTCACTCCAGCGAAGGGTCACTCTTGCGTTCCGCCAGACCCTATCATGAACACACCTGGGGACGTGGTTTGCGTGACGCGCCGAAGCGTGGTGGGCTACAGGGCTCAAACCAAATAGTGATTGTCATGTTCGTATTGTTTTCGCGTTCCTTCGTCCTGTCTCCACTCTGCCTGTGCTGCGCAACAAACCCAAAACGAAAACAAGGTCGACGAGATCGCAAAGGTACCGTTCATCTCGAGCCCTGGTCGGCCGCAACCGGCGGAGCGACACGTTGAGCAGACGCTCTTGACCGTAACGAGGACAGAAGCTCCACAACGCGACGCAGATCCTAGCAGCGCGAGACACGCGGCCTGAAGACCCCGGCAGGTCGCTCGTCTGCTCCGGCAGGCACCTTTCTGGCGCCGCGCCATAGGACATAAGAGCATCCTTCAAGAAAACGAGACCCTTCGCCAGCCGAAACACACAGATCATTCTAGGGCACCCTCCCCGATGCACAAGAACATCCAACACACACGAAGAACATGAAGGCACCCTCCCCGAACCGATCTCGATCTTATACCCGGGTCCGACCGTGATTAGGAACGACGGGGCTTTTTCTGGCAACTGCAGGACACGGGCACCAACAGGTTCCACTACATAAATCGCGGGAGCCGCCTGGAAACCCGACCCCCCTCAGCCCAAAGCGGTCCTTATTCCAACGTCTTGACTGTAAGTGCGAATGGTCATCACTAGGACGAACGCGCAAGCTTCCGAGGGAGGGGGATCGCGCCTCTGGGAGTTGTGGCGGCCCAACAGCTGCTGCGTCCCTTGACCGTCATGGTCATCGAAGGCTGGCGCGGCTGTTGGGGCCAACGACCTAACGCACCAAGGGGATCCAGGCAAGCCACGGCCACGCGGCCACCAGCTGGACTGGTACAACGAACGTGCCTTGAGGGCCTCAAGACAATCAGGGGAAAGTAATTGAAAGGCCCACTGAGGAAGGCCCGCGGAAGCCGAACATTTACAAGCATCCTCCGTCGTGATTGTTGCTTACAGCGAAAGGATGCCAAGGTCATTCTCCTCATTCTGTGTCGGCCATCCCACTTACGTTGAGGATGTGGCCAGTTGTCGAAGAACCACTGGCTTACAGCAGCGCGGAGTTCCGCAAGCTGCTCCACAATCCCCAACACTTCGCCGATGACCGCCCCATCCCTAGGTGCGCGCTCGGGAACCCTCCTTCCCTGGGGAGGAACCAAACACTGCAACAAAAATAAACTGACGGAGGTCCGCGCGGACTTCTTGGATCGGCGCTGGACTCCCCCTCCCTGGCGCGCGGAGAACGCCACGGGCTGCGCCAGATGCGCCGCCAGCGAGGCCCAGCGCCGATCCCAGGAATCCGCGCGGACCTCCGAACGTATGCCTACGCATGTTGTCATTCGATTCCCTCCCTCCCTCCCTCCCTCGGCGACTCCGAAAGGTGTAGCGCGCATTGGGTGCGGCTCGCAACCCGCCATCTGGGAGGCGGGAGAGGACCTCCATAGAGCTCTCCACCGCGCCCCGAGGAGGCCGGACGAGGGCAACGCGGAGCCCCCAAAGCCTCGACGGCGCAGATCGCAATCCGCACCCCGGCGTAACCACTCCCTTTGTTCTAGTCGCCGACTCCCGCCCTTCCCTCCCTGCGGGCCGAGGCTGCCCAGTAAGGTCGGCTGCACGCAAGAGTGACCTTAGGCAAGAGCGACCTCTGGTGCACGGCTGCAGGTGGCCGCGGGGGAGGCCAAATCAAAGCAATCCGAGCGGGGTGGTCAATGCTTGTGGGACCCGTGGATGGCCGCACCAGAGGTCACTCGAGCGAAAAGCCCACAGTGGTTGAACAGAGACCGACCATTCCGGCAATCCTGTAGGCAAATCCGGATTCACCATCAAGAAAACATGTTATAATGACACAACCAATGTTCTTATAACAGAAAACAGAATGCCGATATATTGAAACCAAGCGGTCTCGACCAGATATGCTTTGATCACATCACCTGGAAGCCACCTTAAAGACAATTATCATAACATTCTCTATGGTGGCCCTATAAGCCAGGACGCCTCGCCACTGCTTGACCCTCTTGGGCGTAGGCCGAGAATGAAGGGGCCCAGGGACACACACAAATAAATAGACACAATCCCCAGGAATCCCCGCATTGTCTCATATCTTCTGGACTCTCGTCTTTCCCGCCGCTTCCCACATGTCCCACATTGTCCTGGACATCGACGATGATTTGGGTCTGTGCGCTTCTCTTCCTCCTGAGAGGAGGGCACTCCTGGCGCCTCCTAGCGCATCCTGGCGCCAGAAGGCGCCAGTGTATCGAGGTATGGGCCCGGCGGCGGGGCGGAAACCAGCCGCATAGCAGATTCCGTGACCCCCCCTTCCCCTATCCTACCCTTCTGATGTTCCCATCGCACTTGAGGACCACATCCCAGAAATAACCTCGAGCTCACAGAGAAGTATCGAAACACTGTCTTCCCGACACGCCAGCGCAGTGTCGAACGAGCATCGCCTCCCCATGCCTCAGACGTGACAACTCTCGAGCATCGGTGCTTCCTTGGCGCTCGAAGTTCGTTCTGGCCGTCAAGGCTACAACAGGTTGGAGCCTCATAACCCTGCCCTTCCGTCCGGCCCGAGGGGGGCACTCCGCAGCGCCCCCACGGCGGCCTCCCAGGCCTCTCCTGGGGCAAAAGCGCTGGGCGCACTCCGCCGGCCGGGGCCCCGGGGGGGAGCGGGGCGGAATGGCGGCCGGGTCTCTGTAGGCGGGGCCCTCCTCGCTCCTCCCTCCGCGGTCCTCACTCCTCGCTCCTCCGCAGTATCCTCCTTCTCCTCCTCCTCATTCTCATCCTCCTCCTCATCCTCCTCCTCCTCCTCCTCCTCCTTCTCCCGCACCCCCTTTGCGCTGAACAGTCATCAGACGAGGTCGACCACAAGCCCTCGATCCCCGATATGGTGGTTATGGGCAAATCTGCGACTCGCATGAACACGCCATTCCAGGACACGAGCCCGAGATGCCAATCTTTCGCCACCTACCCCGTCCACGCGACGACTCGCGATCCGTACCCACCCTGGGAGTCGTACGAGCGGTGGCCCCTGCTTGCGACAACGCCGCGGTCCCTGCATGAACCAGAGCGGGCCTCGCCCGCTTACGGGACTGCTGGGGGCCTCGCCCGCTGGCGGCGGAGCCGGCCTTCGTGCCTGCGGCGCAAAGGGCTCACCGACCGTGGAAGGCTCGGCGTGCGCCCTGGACGCATGGACCATGTAATCTGCCGGACTGGCCGCTCGGTCTGGCCGGCTGGCATGTCCCAGGCCACCCCCCGCCACGGCATTGAGGCTGGACCCGCAGGAACTGGGCACTGCTGCCGACTCCGTCGTTGCTCTCGAGGTGCTCAACCTCGTCTGGAAGCTCGTGCGTTCGCGCTGCATGGTGGAGCCCACGCGCAAATACTGGCGGCGGTGACCCGTCGGCCCAGGAGCTAACGGGCAATGTACGTGCGTGCTGATCGTCGCGATGCCCTTCTGACCCTGGACCTCTGCGCGGTGAGGAGCTTCGATGCGGCTTGCCCGCTGGCATCGGTACTCGTTGCGGCCCACCTCGAGCGGTCTCGGGGAACACAAAACATAAACAGAACCATCCAGAGCCCCACATTTCTTGGATCGGCTCTGGAGCCCCCTGGCGGCGCCTGATGGAGGGTGTGCGCGCCAGGGCCCTCGGGAAGGGAAACTGTCACTGCGCGGCCGAGCGCGGTCCGAACACAACCTGGCCCATGACCCGATGGGGTTTGGGTGGGGAAAAGGGGCGCCTGTGCTACTCAACACGAAAAGAACGGATACGGAAAGCCCGTGCCGTGTCGTGACGACTTCGGCGCTGTCTTCTGACACCGCGTGGATGTTTCAGCATAGGACGATCGGCAGCTTCTCAGTCGCCAGATCTTTCTATGAGTCAGGGCCAACGGCGGCGCTCAACCCTGAACGCCCGCGGCGGGGTCGCCGCCGCGTGGACACGACACAAACTTGCAGCACTGAAGGACAGGGGCCCTTCGAGTATAGGATCGACTACAGCATCGATTCACCCCGAACTTGAAACTTTCGCCGAACACCAACGAGCATTCTAAATATTTGCTGTCGAATCGGCAAACAACAATCTTGGGACACGGCTGGATCTAGGACAGAAGGAACATCCCTCAAGAACATGAGACCCTCCGCCAGCCAAACCGAAGCACACTCGAGGGTACCCTCCCCCCAGGATGCACACGAACACCCAGCAGACACCGAGAGCACGAGGGCACCCTCCCCGAACCGACCTCGACCTCAGACCTCGACCCAGCCGTAGTCGTTCTCCTGCTCGGGCCCGGGAGGCTGCTCGCCGCCCGCGAGGCGCTCGAAGACCCGGCGCAGGCCCCCCCGGGGGGGGGGGCCGTCCATGCCCCGAGGCCGGCCTCGGGGGGCAGGACGGGTCCCGGGGGAGCATGCCGAGGGCCCGGGACGCGCTCCCCGAACGGCACCCCGCCTCCTTTGCGGCGAGGGGTCTGCGGCCCTCGCGCCGAAGCCGTCGAAGCACAGTCGCGAGAGCGCGGGGCCAGGGCACGGGCCCCTTCGCCGAGAGCTCGGGGCCCCAGGGGGATACCCGAGACGAAGAGCGTTCCGAGGTGGAGAGCCCAACGGCGGAGATCGCAGGGCTGCCCCTCCAAAACTACAGCCGGACCTAGGACAGAAGAACATCCCTCAAGAACATGAGACTCTCCCTCAACCAAAGCAAGCAAAATATTCAAGGGTATCCTCCCCAGGATGCACAAGAACATCCAACTAACACGAAGAACATTAGGGTACCCTCCCCGAACCGACCTCGATCTTCTACCTCGGTCCGACCGTATGATTGTTCCGAACCCTCGGTGCCACCTGTCGCGGAACGGTCCTCGTGCTGGCAGCAGGCACGCAGAAGAAGGAACGAAGGGGCGCTTGGGGCCACGGCGGGCGCAGGCCACGAATACGAGTCCCACGACGTGAAGTCTGAGGAGCACCCCGAAAACTGATGGGCGTGGTTTCCACCACCACTACCATAGGTTGGAGGGAGAGGTCCTCCTCCTCCTCTTCCTTCTCCTCCTCCTCCTCCTCCTTCTCCAACAGATGGTAGTGGTGGTGGAAATCAGTCCCATCAAAAACCCCAGCCCCCTCTGAGACCACAGCGTTTTCTTACATCAGCGTCCTGCGGGGTCCAACCCGCTTCCAGCGGGGTCTGGCCCATGGTGGCTGGAAGAGCGTGAGGCTCAGGAGCGCAGGCTGAGGCGTCCGCCCTGACAACCGCAGGGCCGAGCAGATGATGAGCAAAAGGACGGCAGCCGGAGTCCACAGTGCGCCCAGCCTTCTGAGACCACAGCGTTTCTTAGTTCAGCGTCCTGACTCTGCGGTCCAGAGCTTCTGCCCAGCGTGTCGCGGCGGCGGCGGCCCCAGCGGCACGCTGTGCCCTGCGAGCGGAGAGCGCGTCACTCCGCGCCACGGAGCGGACGCTCGGGAGAAGCTCTGGATGTCGTCGCTCGGGGCCCTGGGCGGGGATAGCGTGTCGCGCCGAGGCGCGGTGGGCCGGGGCAAGCGGAGCGGCAAGCTAACCAAAGATTCCAAACCGTAGCCCTGAGATCCGACGTTGCAGAACAATTGCAAAATCGTGTGCGGAATCGAGCAGAGCCCTGGAGCCCACTGCGCTGCTGCAGTATCTTCCGAGCCGATCGATTCGTGAGGGTCCAGGGGCCCGAAACAGGGCAAAATCGCTGGTTGCACCTCGCGCCGCGGGGTGCTGTTACCTTCGCGCGCGTGCGCGCACGCTCGCGCACGCGGCCGTCCGTCCCAGCGCGGCGAGGCGCGGTCAATCTTTGAGAAACGCTGCGGGGTGCCATGGGCGATGCCCCCGACGCCTGCCACGGCACGGAGGGCGCAGGCGCGCGTCCGTTCGGGCGCGCCAGCATCGTCACGCGCGAGAGGGGGCCTCGGTGTCTGGCTGGTCCCCCTCCCCTGAGATCCTCGCGTCGGATTTGTTTCACAACTGGCGATTGTGCCATGTTCCAGGCCCCGGGGCACTCGCGGATCGATCCAGCTCGAAACATGCTGCAGACAAGTGAGGTCTAGGGCTCTGGCCGAGTGCTCTTGCGATGATTGATTTGTTTCGTGGCTTGGGATCTCAGGGCCTGTCCTTCCTTAGGCATCTCATCCTCCTCCTCCTTCTCCTCTTCTGACCCCTCCTCCTCCTCCTCCGCCACCTCCTCCTCCTCCTCCTCCTCCTCCTCCTCCTCACCTGCTCCTCCTGCTCTCCTCCTCCTCCTCCCTGCCTCCTCCTCCTCCTCCCCACCTCCTCCTCCTCCTCCTCCTCCTCCCTCCCCTCCCTCCCTCCTCCTCCTCCTCCTCCTCCTCCTCCTCCTCCTCCCCCCTCCTCCCTCTTCGTCCTCCTCCTCCTCCTCCTCCTCCTCCTCCTCCTCCTCCTCCTCTTCCTCCTCCTCTTCCTCCGTAGCCATTTTGGCTCAAGATGCATTGTTCCAGGTCGGCGCGCATCACATCTCAGCAGCGTGGTGGCGGCGGCAACGGGGACGAGTCTGGTGCGACGCAGGCTGGCGTTGCCCTTAATGCAACTTTAAGAACCTCGGGTGGAGGGCGCAATGCAGGCAGGCGAACTGCGGTGCCGACCGTCCTACTACACATGGTCATGGTGCTCTACATCCTGCTCCCGTTCGCGGGCGTCGCAAGGTGGACCACCAGAAGCGCCACCCTGGGCTCGGGTTCATGGACTCCCTGGACTACCTGGACGGCACCGCGCGGCAATGCTTGACGGCAGTCTCAAGGTGGTGGTGGCAGCCCGCAGGATGGTGGCGGCTGGAGTGGACAAGAGCAAGTCCAGGAGGCCCTCACCGACGATGAGCGGCAGTACTGCATGCAGCTGGACGACCAGTCTTTCGACATCGTGGCGAAAAGGCTACCTGGCGCTCTGTGAAATTTCTGCCGCGGTGCCTGCCGCTAGCCCGTGGTCGCAGGCGCTCAACTGCTTGCGCCTTCCTGCGCTGGATCTGGAGCCGATCGCTGAGCTCGGCGAGAAGGCCCTTCAGCAGGCTGTCAGGATGGCTGCCCATGATGTGCGCGCCCGAAGCTCGAAGTTCAACGAGTGGGTGCTGAAGCAGTCTCTTGGCGGAGGTGGTGGCCTTCGCGCGCCATCCAAGACGCCTGTCGGCCTCGAGTAGATCCCCATGGTCGCTGAGATCGCTGACCATGACAGCCCGTGCTTCATGGATGAGCAGCAGCTGTGTGAGCCTGTGGATCTGCCTGGCAAGGTTGCTCGGCTGGAAGCGGGATGGTGCAAATGGTGGGGCACCTCCCTTTCGCAGGTGTAGCTTCAGTGTCCTTCTGCTCTTGGCGTGCGCCCTGAGAAGCCAACGGTGGGTCAGCTCGAGCAAGTGCTGGCGACGGTTCCCCTGATGGCGGGCATGTCCTTCGACGCGGTCAGCCCCCGTCTGCAGCTGCTAGCTGCCGTCATCGGCGAGATCGATGTGTTTCATTCAGAAGAGGCTGGGCGGGGTCCGCCCAATCGCGCCCATGCTAGATTACGCAGGCCTCTCGCCGTCGAGTGGGAGGCCCGCCGCGACAGAGACCGCGGGCGGGCATCGCGCGGACGCAGCTGCGAGCGGGCGGCGTGACGCCAAGCTGCGTGGGGCGAGTGGGCGACGCTGAAAAGGGCGTGAGCATGGAGATGAGCATGGCAGGACTGCAGTAGCGGTGTTGCCTGATCTGCTCAAGGCTTTTGGGCAAGTGGGGCGCTGCTGGCCGTTGAAGGCGGCGCCGGAGTCTGGCGTTCCTCTTCGGCAGCTAAAGCAGCAAATCGAACTGCGCACGGCGCCGCGCGTCCTCGCGCCGGGCTCTGCGGCCTCCGAGGTGGCGGCGGCTCGGCCGTCGGCCCTTCCCTGGGGCGGGTTTGCCGCGACGATGCTCGAGCACCTGCTGCTGAAGCCGTTGGGCGCGCTGGTGGCGCGCAGCCCCTCGACGCAGCTGGCCGTGGTCACCGACGACTTGATGGTCCATCGGGTGGGAGGGCTTCTTCGCGTCACGCAGGAGGTGGCCGACGCGGCGTTCCGTCTCCGCGCTCTCCTGGTTGAGAAGGACCTCGCGCTCGCCAAGGCAACGTCCAAGGTGCTGTCCAACGTTCCGCGTGCCGGGCAGCTGCTGGAGTTCAAGCTGCAGAAGGCCGCGGGCGCTCAGGCCACCATGTTCGAAAGGAATTTAGGTGTTGATTTCGCATGTGGTAAGAGGATCACTCGGCAGGTGCGATGTGATACATTGGCGGCAGCTGGGCATCGCATGAGACGCGTTTTTCTTCTCAAGCGAGGCAAGTGCCAGAACAAGGCGACGCGCAAGGTCGCGAGAGGCGGATAGGAGCCGTCAGCCAGCTTTGGGTTTGGCGTCACCGGGTGCGCTGTCGGCGAGCTCGAGCGCCTGCGCACCGCGGCGTTCAGTGCTGTGGCTCCGTTCACTGCGGGGCTGTCGCGCACGCTCGCGCTGATGCTGACGCCCTTCCTGGGCCCCATGCACCGTGCGAATTTGCAGCCCGCCACGATGATGCTCCTGGCCGCCCGGGAAGGCTGGATCCCACAGCGCGTCATTGGATATGGTTTGCACCGCAGCGCCAGCAGCTGCTCGGCCCAGGTGCAGGGCCCTTGCTCGGCGGTGGAGATGACTTTGACGCGGGTAGGATGGGCTGCGCTGGACGCCAGCACTCGGCGTACTAACGAAGGTTTGCTCGTGAACATATTCGGGGACTGCCCCTTGAAAGTGAAGCGTCTTCTTTGGCGGCTCGTCGCAGCTTGGTCATGGGCTCAACTTGCACGGTGCCCTGAATTACGCCACTTGGCTGCTGGGCGAGTCTTGGAGCCACTCGTGCGATGGGTTAATGCTGGGGCTGCCAAGCGCGAAGGGCTCAACGCTCAACGGCAATCCAGTGGTCAAAGGTATGTCGCCGCGTGCTGGCTTGTCCCATGTGTCACCGCGAGCGGGCCCCTCGGCGGTTGACGGGGCTGAGGCCCTTGCCCGCGAGCCCGCAGGCACAGTGGCTTCCGCGTGTGGGCCGAGCACGGCCACGTCTGATATGTCAATGCCAGTGGGTCCCTCGGCAGATGACGGGGCTGGGGCCCTCGCCCGCGAGCCCACAGGCACGGCGGCTTCCGCGGGTGGCTCGGGTACTGGCTTTTCTGCTACGTCACCGCGAGTGGGACCCTCAGCGGTTGACGGGGCTGGGGCCTTTGCCCGCGAGTCCCCCAAATACGTTGGTTTCCGCGGGTGGGCCACGGCCATGTCTACTATGTCACTGCGAGCGGGTCCCTCGGCAGACGACGGGGCCGGGGCCCTGGCCCGCGAGGCCACGCGGACTGGGGGCTTAGAGTCGGCCTCTATTGGCGGTTCAGTCCCCTCAGTCTTGGGGGCTGCGTGTCAGCCTCCCACTGGCGTCAGTGACGGATCGTTGCAGACGGCGCGGTCTGATGCCGAAGAGCTGCGGCGTGCTGTGCTACGCAAGTTGCTCGGCGATGTGGCTGCCCCAGCCGACTGGGAGGCTGAGCGCTCAGAGCAGGATGACGTGGACGAGGTCTTCGAGGATGCCGACGTGCGCCAGGGCGCCCTGCAGCTTCTCCCTGGGCCACGCGGAATACGTGGACCTGGTGACGCCGCGCGCAACCACCCCGCACCTGGAGGCACATCCTAGTCGCGGGTTGCTCGGCCAATGGCGCCTGGAGCGGAGTCCCAGGTGCATCCGTCACCTCGTCCGATGCGATTGATACGAGAGCTGGAGGACAATGGCCACACTTGCGCAAGTTTGAATGAAGTTTGAATGCGGGTATGCTCAAAGCTCGTAATGCCTCTTGTGTGGCGAAGTTGGCTCTCTGGTTCATCGGCAAACTGCGTGCTCTGGGTGGCCTGCGGAGCGACATCTGCCCCTGCCGATGCAACGTTTGGTCCAGCGTGCGCGTGACGATCCTGACCTCGTCTGCCTTCTGGAACGGAATATACTGCCCATGCATCAAGGTATTCCAACACCTGTGCGATCTCCAGATCTTTGCCGGTTAGGGGACTGCGAAGATGGGCACATTCCCTCGGACACGCTGTATATTGATGGATCCGCGTACGACGGCGAGTATGAGAGATGCGCGAGAATTGGTTGGGCGGTCGTTGCCCTGAGGTCGGGCTGTGATCAAGTTTGGCTTGGAGTTTCGGGCCTGCTGCAGGCGGCCTTCGTTGATATGAATTATGGTGAGCTCGCAACTTTGGCGGCAATACTTCGACATGCAATTCCTTCCGTGCTGGCGGTGACCGTCAGTTCTTTCGTGGTCAAGGGCCTGCTGGAATACGGCCCTGAGAGGACTACTTCATTTGGCTTTGCATGAGCTGATCAATGGAAGGTCATTTGGAGATTGGTCGATGATTTCTGAGGACTCGGGCCAGAAGGGTTCTCGGTTCGCAAGGTCCAGCCTCATGTGAGGCGTCGCAAAGTGGAGGAAGGCGTATCAGCTATTTGCAATCGTGACAGGCTGGGGGATGGGCCGGCCGACAAGGCAGCCAAGAGTGCTGCGGCTGTTGGACGGATTCCAGCCCACTTTCGAGACCAACTCCGTGATGCTCATCAGCTGATGGAAGAAGCCGCGCTCTGG